TCAACAAAGTTTTTCAATTTAACTGATGGAAGTTGATAGCAAATGTCCAATATAAGTTGCTGATCCCTGAATAATCTTGCAGTATAAACCATTCTTGTTAATGATTTCGACATTTCAATGATACACTAAACGAGAAATGCTCTGCTTTATTTAAGAGAAACTGTCTTTTTCCACCGTGACATCATTCAACAAAAGAAACTGAATTTAAAAAGAAATCTATGGCTAATATTTATAGATACTCTAATTTATCAGGTAAGTTTCTTTAAAACAGAGATCTCACGCCAAAATTTATTTCAAACACCCCTTTTTCCTTCCTTTATCTCTTTTCTCTCTTCCATCGCTCTCCTCTCTCTCTCTCTCTCTCTCTCTCTCTCTATATATATATATATATATATATATATATATATATATATATAGACTGCCCTTTACTCGTTGGGTCACTGACGGTTCAGTTTATAAAACACTGAAGCTGATTTCCATTGAAATGAAAGTTAATTTTATTATGATTCAGTTAAATATTTCAATTCGTTCGTGTTATAGTTGGCCTGGTTCAACGTTTTACTGAATGTTTACAGCATTTAATAAGAATTGATCTTCCAGGATAAACTTGAACTTTAAATCAGATTAACTTCAAAATATGTCTTTAATGTGCCAAAAATATTTTGAAATCCTATTTACTTTAATATGGTTTTAAATATGCGAAAAATATTTTTTTAAATTTAAAATATTGTTTGTTTAAAGAAAGCTGAAATATAAATAATTACTCTACAAACAATTGGACGAAACAGCAAAGCGGCATCTCTTTGTGTCTGTCTTTAACTTTAAAAAATTGTCTGTTTGAAGAAAGTTAAAATAAAAATACTTACTGTATAAACAATTCGTATTTTTAAATCTTATTCGCTTAAAACATTTTTAAATCATATTAACTTAAAAATACTCTTTAAATATTTTAAATATTGCTTGTTTAATGAAAGCTGAAATATATTTTAAATCTTATTCACTTGATTTAAGTGATTAAGATGAAACGCGCCACAAAAATTAATCTGATCTAGATTAATTTAAATCATTATGCGCCGAACGGACGCATCACACAAGCACACAAGCACGAACGCAATCACAAGACTTTTATTATTATTATTATTATTATTATTATTATTATTATTATTATTATTATTATTATATGATAAATTGGAAAAAAACGTTTTTGTGACGCGTTTCATCCATTAGAATCCGTATGAAACACTTAACAAAAAACTTCTTTCCAATTTGTTATATTTTCTCAATATTGTTTCTTGTCATATACAATTGTATACAATTATATATCATTATTTCATATATATATATATATATATATATATATATATATATATATATATATATATATATATAATGTCTGTGTGAGTTTTTTCATCAAAGGTTCGTTTTTTATAAGCTAAGTGACATGACAGTTTATTAGCACCGCCTGCAAAACAAACAAAGAAAGTCAAAGAAAATAAATAAGCATCAAATGAAAAATTATATGACTTTCTCTGTGTGTGTGTTTCCATGCTTCTGTGTATTTCTGTGTTTTTGTTTTTGTGTGCCCTGAGCTGAAACACGCTGGTTAACGATGTGCTGCTTATGTTAAACGAAAAGGTTTCCATGTACGCCTTTCTGAAACAGTATAGCTCTCTCTACTAGAGACATGTGTCCGATTTCATTGGAAACCCTTTATGACCCAAGTGAACTTTTTTAACTTTGGATTCCACCTGTCTTGATGAGTTCTCTTGTATTTATCTTTCTCTATAGTTAAATAATGCCTGCCAGCTTTCAGTTGCTCTGTCTAAACGGTTGAGTTTCCATCAAAAGAATAAAGATCGATCTGTCCTATCTGTTTTAAAATATTCTCTAAGGATCAATATTAAAATATTTCACTTTCATATATTAACATAAATAAATTAACTGTTTAATTGTATAATGATGGCAAATCTGTTCTTTTTTTTTGTTTCTATATTATTTTGTTACAGGAGAAAAAAAAGATTGTAACATGAACTGATGATATAGATAAGGAAATTTAGTTTCTTTAATTAAAATTTCCTTTCTTGGCAGTCTAGAAACTTTAATCACTATATGAGGGGTACGGAAAAGTTCACAAATCGATCAACAAGTCCTTCCTTTAAAACAATGGTATAAGTTTTTTGGGGTTTTTTCAGGGCCCCTAGTAGTAGAGAAAATGTGAAGATAAATTCACTTTCGTTTTTTAACTTTTTGTAGAACTGGATTCGATTTCATAAATTAATTTTGTTAATCTGTCGCATTTGAAATAGAAAAATTTTTGCTGCTTTTTCACAATTTTTGTACAAGGTCAAATTTCTTTGTTTTTATATATTTTAATGTAATTTCTGAACGAATGGCTCACATCTATGATATTTTATCCGTTACGCTACCTGCATATTGTGAACGTTTAAATTTTCATAATGATTTTTCGCCACTGTATAAAAAAGATTCTGTCATTTTTATCTCAAAATAAATATTGTAAGATATTATGTTTAATTGGTATTAACATTTATTACCGGCCACAAGTTGTTCATTAAGAATTGGACAAAAATAGAGAGACGTAACCATAAAAAGGTTTTTCAAATTTTGCCCATAAAGCTGCCAACAATTTTACACAATCAAAAAGTTACATTTTATTAACCTACATTAAAATAGTTCTCTACCATATTTTTAATAAATGTGTATTTCTGTTAAGAGAAATTGAAATAAAGAATATAAAAAAGCATATAATTTGAACATTAATAAATTTGCCCATTTTATCTCATATGTCAGCAGTTCATCGGTCTGCGATGAATAATAAAACGACGTAGGTTTAAAAAAAACGTTGAGATAATTTAATTAATCTACTTGGTTAATTTAATACAAACAGCGCATGAGAATACAGTTGATTGGCTAGCGTTATTATTGAGGGGGTAAAAATTTGTTTACTAGGGGGTGGTGAAAATTCTTGACCCGACCAAGAAGTGCTTGAAAAAAAATCCAACGTTTTCACATTTAGTGTGATATTCAGAAGTGGGACGGCCCGAGAATTTTTTAACGCCTCCAAAGATTTATATTTTTACAATAGCGACAACAAATATAATTGAATTATCCTCTTTATGTAAACTCGCTTCTTTAAAAGAAATAAACGAAAGATTTATAATATACATAAGTGAATACAAACAATGATTAGTTTTTAGTTATTTATGTGTCGAATCATCTGTATGAGTTTAAGAAGCGTTCAAAGTTTTGCTCATTTGTAGTCGGTTACGAATTTGGTTCAACTCGAAATGACGTTTTATTTGTGATGTACAAACACCTTTCGGTTTTTGTAGAAATGTCAACACATATTTGCTTTCTGCACAAGCGCCTATTAGTGCGTTTGTTTTCGCGTGTGTGTCCGTGTGAGTGATATTCTGTATGTAAATCTGTGTTTGGGTGGTTGAGTGTATGCAAAAGAGGGAGTAAATGATAAATGTTTATAACGAATAAAAGAGAAAATGAGTACATGAGGTGAAAATAAAGTCGTCAAAAGGCGTCAACGATAAGAAACGAAGAGAGAGTTAAAAAGAGACAGTCTGCAAGAAAGGATAAAAGTAAAAGAGAGTGAGGGAGATGAATAAGGCTGGAAAAGGCAGTGAAATCGAGTGGAAATAGATAGAGTGGAAGAAAGAAAGAGCGACAGAAAAATAGAAAGGAAATGACGAGTAGGTGAAGCGACGAATAAGAATAAATAAAAATGAAAGAAGATATTCATAAAACAAAAAGGCTAGAAATTAAACAATAAAATCAACATTATTTGAACTTCTTTGGCTCGATTTTCTCATTATCATCAAATAATTACGGCTAATGAACATTTCCAAAAATATCTAAATTAAGACCAACAACAGAGAATTGGTGTCAGGAGCAGACATTTTTAATATCAAGTGAATACCCATCGGAATAGGAAGGAGGCGAAAACCATAATTTTCTGCTGAAATATGCAGGTTATTTCTACACCTTTCTTTCCTGTTGCACTTTGGGCTGTGTTTTAATAATAAAAATTCTCCATTGATTATTATTTAATTTTATGATTCACACTTTTAGAAGTATTTTCTTTCGGAATTTGATTTAATTTTTTCAGTTTATTTTTTAATTCTCAACGACCTACAGACATTTTGGTATAGCAAATCGAGAAATATCACCTCAAGTGAAAAAGATACAAGATGCTTGTAATTAATGATATATAAACTGAAGTAAATTTCAATAACAAAATCAAAACGAATTATTTCTTCTTTTTTTTTCAAAATAAGAAATGATCTGATCTCACCAAGAGAAAGTAATTTCATTGACTTGATATTTTGATCAAACAACACATTTTTGCTTCTCTGATTCATTGTTTTCTTGGAGGAAGAGAAATAAATGAATTTAAACGCTTCATTCTCTTCGATTTTTCATTCATCCCGTCTGCTTTTATCAATCTCCCACTCTCACTCTCTTTCTTCTCTCTCTCTCTCTCTCTCTGTTTCTCTCTCTCCGTTTTTCTCTCGCTCTCTCTCTGTAACTAAATAGTTATTGATCCGACCAACATCAGCTTTTGCTGGTTTGGGTGGAGAAATTTTCAGCTCTATCCATCCATCCATACATACATACATACATACATCTTTATGAATGAAAAAAAAATGTTAATTTCCAGTAATTTTGATTCATGTATTCTTATTCAGTCATATATTCAACGTCAGTTTCTTACACGTCTCTGTTTACTTCCTGTTACTCCTCTGTCTCTCTCTCTCTCTCTCTCTCTCTCTGTCTCTCTCTGTCTCTCTCTCTCTCCATATATAATTATTATGAAAATTGAGACTTTATAAGATCATGGTAATATTTTATTTCATTAAAAACGATACTACGGATTTAACTCATCAGACCAAATATTTTCACAAAAATAAATGGATAAAACTTTTACCAGGCACAAAAACATTTATGTAAAAAAAGAGGGGGGTATGTATTCAAAACGGGGTAAGGGAATAGATGAAGGAGAAGAAGAGAGATATGAAGTTAAGGCTAGGAAGGGAAAGCGAAGAGAGGGAGAAAGAAATATAAGTCTGTTCACGGAGATATGTGCGAAGTTGTAGGGATGAGAGCAGACATGTTAACCTATTTATGCCGAATGTGCACAGTGAAGAGTGTGTCATCAAATGGGTGGGGGGGGGTAGAGGAAAGAGACAAAGAGAGCGAAAAAAAAGAAGGAAAGGAAAAGAGAAAGAAAGGGAAACTAGAGATATGGCTTGAAACTAGCAATCGTCTTTGTATAAAATTGTATAAATTATCTGTCTAAGTCATGTTGTCATTCACGCCCTATCCAATAATATTTCAGAAAAATGGTTCATTCAAAAAAGATCTTTCTAAAGATAAGGATACAAATACGCATAATAATAATGATACCAATAATAATAATTATATAATGGTAACATAAACAAAATTATCTTTGGCAATTATATACCTACATAAACAAAACCATCAACATACATCTATAGACATATAAACACACATACCATACATATATGATACATGATCAACAAAAAATTGGAAAAATTATATACGTCTTGAATTTCTAAGCGTAAATAGGACGATAACACCCAAAGGCAGAATATATATAAACGCATCAACCTAAAATCCATAAATACATATGTAAACATATGCACTCATACATATACAAACACATACATGCATATCTATCGATACAAATACATATACAGACATATATAAACATATACACAAATACCCATTTGCGCCTAAATACATACTATAAACCCATATATATATATATACAAGTATACACACATACGCATATACATTATATGTCATATATATATATATATATATATATATATACACACAGATACACATAGAACACATACATATCATAAAAACATATCTATGCATACATACACACACACATATATATACACAATCATACATATACATTAGAACAAACATACATGCACACATATATATATATACTTATACATACAAATACATATATATATACGTATATGCACACATACACATCTATACATATATACACATACAACATACAAATATATATATATATATGCACACATACACACACATACATTCATACTTACACATATACACATATATACACGCATATAAATATATATATATACACACACGCACGCACACACATACATTCATACATATATATACGCATACATACATATATTCAAATATGCATATACATATATATATACATGCGTATATACACATATAAAACATACATACATATTCATATACACAACGCATATACATACACACACATGTAAATATATATATACACATACATAGACACACATGCCCATATTTATACATATGTACATACTGACAAATATATACTTAAATAATAATATATAAACAACATATCCAAATATATCCCTAACTATATAAATGTAAAAGGCATATAAGAGTGCATTTCATCCATTGCACCCAGATACATACATATATATATATATATTTACTTATACATATAAACAAAACACCCATACAAATATCTAAATATAAATAAACACATACATACATATATATGTATATATCCATATTATTTCAAAATTTTTTCCTAAACGAGTGAAACCGATATCAAGTTTATCGCTCTACTTAAGCACTCTACGTTTTAGTCTTTTTACTTTCTACTTGGAGCTTAAGCACTTGACGATTGGTTTCGTCTTGTTTTAATGTTCTTCGTTCTTTTTTTTTTATTTTATATACTGCAAGATATATATAGTACCATTTATATATATATATATATATATATGTAATCCGTTGGTATAATCCAGGCGAGTGCTATTAATACAAGATAGAATTTGAAATATTTTAAAACTGACTGACAATAGAGCGCTACATGTTTATTATCATTAAACAGAGCAATTTTTCTTGACAATTGAAATTAAGTTACCTTTAGTAAATGACCATTTTCACCTAATTTTAATTTTCGAATTTTAATATATATATATATATATATATATATATATATATATATATATAGCCAGCTATTTTTCATTAATGCGTGTTTCATTAAATAATATGGATAAGTTTTGTCTATTTATTTTTAAGTAAGTTCCTTTCATAATGTCTGATAAGACGAAAGGAAAACACCATATTGATACATGTTTAAATCCAATCTAAGCTTTCGGCTTACACAAGCCATTATCAAAGATAACAATTTCAATAAATAACAACACCGGACGAAACAGCAATGATAGTCCGCCCTTGCTGCATGAAAATTTACAAGTAACGACAAAACTCGTATATACGAGACGCGAAAGCGAAAATCGCATCGCAGCTCGTGACGTCACACATGACCACGCGAGAGTGAAAAACGAGAAGTATTAAGTATGGGAAACCGTTGGTATAAACCATTGGCTTCTGTTATAAATTATAGGCATTTAAGGATATTTGTGGAGATTTCATAGTTTATTTTGTTCAGGTTAGGTTTCAACTGTTTTATGTATAAAGCTTCAAGAATTTTTAATTTTGTATCAATATGGTGTTTTCCTTTCGACTTTCATATTATATATATATACAAATCTATACACCCACATACACACACAAACACACATATATATACATATTTTTACATATAAGCAAACATGTTTACATATACAAAATATATATTATCCCAATGATACCAAGGCTAATTATAGACTTATACAAATACATATACAAAGTAGATTTTACTGCTTTTAAACTACAATTTTCCCTGATTTCCCTAGAACGTTCATATCTGCTCGAAGCATATCTAAACGTAAACAAATGACTTCACAGACTACGAGATTTAATTTAAAACCAGTAAAAACCGACCTTGCTAACCATACGCTCCTCTGTAGTTAAACTGGTATAGCACGTCAGGCTATATGACAGCTCTGTATAGGATACAGCTTCGATTTCTGTCGGAGAACACATATTTTCTATGAAAATTTCTCTGACGTTCAGGCCGGTAAATGTTGTTAATACTGTTTATTATAAAACAGAGCATTTATTCAAATGTTTGTGTATATAAATAATGTATAATAATAAAATATATTTAAAAATCATTACTTCATCTATTTACTCAAACGTGCTGCTTTCCTAAGCGAATGTTAAATTTACCAAATGTCGTCTTTCATCATTATGTCCCTAAAACTATACCTGTCGCGTTCTTATTGCTATCAACTGTGTTTCTATTCATATTAGAATATTCTAACTAATCGTATGCTCTTTCCATTGTATTTTCACCATTTGTCAATGCAACATGGTAGCCTCAAATCTTTCATTTTTGACGAAATTGTCCGGTTTTCACTTCCTATCGAGGAATGTAGACATCACATAGCAATTCACTATTCTTTTCTTATTTTAAATCTCTTAGTTTCACTATTCATACGCGCACTTACAAATTTCTGTGTCACACTGTCTTCTGTCCAAATAGCTGAATTTTCACACTTCTGTTCACCACCATGCATTCCATCTCCTTGCAATTGATAATTAATTATTTCTTCTTATTTTCATAGACTAATTTATCTAATAGTTCTTTCAGTTTTTCTTTTGAATCTTTCATCAACACAGTGTCATCTGCGTAACATATAATGTTAAGGTTATGTTCGCCGATAAATTCTGGAAGGTCCTTTTGTAAGCGTTAAAAGGATGGCTGTTTTTAGTGTTTAGATATCTCATTAGTGCATGTAGGATAATTACTATTTTAGTTACAAAAAATGTATTTCAAAATAATTACGTGCCGTTGAATCACACTTCATGTCATCTGTTATTACACTGCTTCATTATTGAATTTCTCCAGTTGATTAATTTTGATATTCCCTAATATATAACTAATATCTTAGGTTGCTCCTTTCACTCACCGCCATGCATTACGACTTTTTACAATGGCCACTACTTTCTTCTTTCTTTACTACCTCATCTATTTGTTTTTTTGTTGTTTTTTTTCAATTTTTTCAGCTATCAACGTAGCATATGTTATTAACTTTGCCTGCAGACAATAAATCACAGTTGGCCTTTAATCTACTTAGAATCTTGTCAGGTTAAATAAATCCAATGAGAAAACGCATTCTTATCACATGTTACTTTGGTAAAATCACAATTGTTTTTTTTTTTAGAGGGGTGGTTGCATACAATTCATTTGTTCCAAATATATATTCTGGATTATTCGTATATGATATAATTCAACATTTTCCAACATTTCAAAAAAGTTTTCAGGTCGTCCTTTTGCGAATGTCTTTGTATAATCAATAAAACGCAGGTATAGATCCCTTTGTATTTCTTTCGCTCGTTATGTCAATATTTTGACAATCGACATTACATTTTTTGTTCCAGCGTCTTGTACAAACCCCCAATGTTCAGCAGTTACTTGCAGTTTGATTTTGCTACGAGTTGTATTCTTAAGTAATAGTGACACTGCAGATCTCACGTCTGTAGTTACGCGTTCGTTGTATATATATATATATATATATATATATATATTTATTTATTTAAAAATTATAACATAAATATGTTATAAAATCACTACAAATTTTTTGTAGTAATTTTATAGCATAGTTATGTTATAATTTTTAAATATATAATTATATCTGCTCTACTCTGTATTGAGCGCTCTTTTAAGAATAGTAATTGTTGGTTATTGGAATTTATTCCGTATATACCAATCATATACTTGGTATTATATATATATATATATATATATATATATATATATATATGACAGTATATTGGCTCCTGAAAAATTAATTTCAGTTGAGCTCTCTGGGGGAGATGTGGGTTGGTAAACAGTGACTATTATAGCTATATAGCGAGACTCTTCGCTAATGCGAATTGAGTCACTCCCGGTCACTGGGCGTGTTTATAAAGATAAACACGCTAAAAATCCACTTTTCTCCCTACCGTGCGCCGGTAGGGAGGAAAGTGGATGGTTAAAATCTCCGACTGACACCAGTTCAGTCGGGTTTCGATCCTAGATGGAGGCAACCGGATGTCTAGCCACACTGATGAGCTGCGAAACAGTCTGTCTGTGGATGACGGTATATATATATATATATATATATATATATATGAACAAATTCTGTCTGTCCGTCCGTGTGTTTGAAAGCCCCTCTAATTAGGGTCACACTTTCTCTGCATAGACATATTATATCTTTTTTTGAATCAAAATGACTACGGGGTCGAAAATCTGCCCTTCATCCGCTGCTTCAACATAAACCTCTGGGATTTGTG